TGGAATTGAGAATGTGGAATTTAGTAGCAGTAGATGTCCTTGAGAAAAAGTTCGTTAGGTAAGTACTGCCACCTTACCTATCTCTGTCGCCAAGCAGTAATGTCAGCATTACTGTGTTCCGGTTTGGAAGGGTAAGGGTGCTGGTGATATTACAGGCACATGGGACTTGTCAACTTGTCTCAGGGTGGCGGGCGACGCGACAGGCCTTTCAGATCTATTTAAAGGTGTGAGTGGCACTGTAATGCTATGGACAGGCGTGTCGCTTAGCACCAGGCGCACGACTTGTTCGTTCTGTCACTTGGTGTCATAAAAAAATGTAGTCGTCTTTATTATATTCGAATTTTAAACTATAAGGTGATTCGCAGACTGACAACAAATACATAATAATTTTAACAGATATATTGATATAAATACTATGAAACAAAGTGGTTTAACAACTTTTAAATAGACCATCGTTGACTACGTCTGTTCTTATTTATCAATTACGTTTGTTCTCAGACAAACCAGTATCATCTTACGTGCAGGCTTTCATGTCGCGTAAATGGGGCGGTGTGGTTTTGTCGAATCCGACAGTTGGGGAATGTAATGACGACAAACCGGTGCATACGCCTGTCGTTAGAGTTGTCATGGGGACTTTCTTATCGCAGCTGAGGAAGTTACTTGGCATTACCAATACAGTAAGATTTTTAAAATTTATTTATTTCTCTAAGAGAGACAGTTGCGTGCGAGAGATAATGTAGTTACGAGGATAAAAGGAGGAATGCTTCGATGGTTTTAGTCATAAAGAAAATATAAATGTTATAATGTGTCTGTTCTATTCTATTTTTAAGTTTCTGGCGTCTCTTGAAGATTCTGCCAATGTCTAATCGGTCATGGAGTTTTTTTTAATCACTTAACACTGCTCTTTGAGTCTATTCCGACTTCTGAAACAATACAAAACATAACGACTTACCGACACCGTTAGAGATATTTAAATACATAAGTTTATAATTTAAATTTGTTAATACAAATAAAATCAGTTATTTAAGAGGGGGTTTGTAAAGTATAATGTGCCTTTTTTGAAGACGGAGTAAAATGTCATTTGCAGGATTGACAGTTTTTATAAAATTTTAAATAGTCATGTAGTTGTTGTCGATAGTTTTATCGATGGATTGTGAAAGAAGGTAAAATTTTGCCAAAAATATCTGAATTGTGAATGTTACGACATTGTAACGATTGCTAATTGCTTTCTTTATTTTTGTTTTGACAGTTAGCCTAATAGTATCTGAGAAATATCTGTCTAGGGAACCAGATGAAGTCCTAATCCACGGAGCGCAATAAAACACGTCCGTTCGATACTGCGTTTAATTGACGTTTACGACGAATACGTTTTCTACCCACATACACCACAGTATCAAAATCGATTTTTATTCGTATACATTTAATAAGAACATTATTTAATTATTTTTTAATACTAACTGCCTCCGTGGCCGAACGGTTACCATGCCGGACTGTCACACAGAGGTCCCAGGTTCGATTCCCGGGCCGGGAGAAATAATTGTATGGCCTACAATTATTTCTCTCGTGAGTTTGGGTGTAATTTGTGGTTGTCTATGTGTGTGTCCATGGACCCGCGACACAGCGTTTCCCTAGTGCGGGGCTATGTTTAGTGTGTGCGTTATTTATTTATTTATCTATTAATGAATGAATTAAAATAAGAATTTTAAAATATGTCTCCTCCTTGTATTTTTAATAGTTCTAAATGTGGTGAATGTATGAACTTACAAAAATTGACAATTCAAATGTGCCTGTGCCTAGTAGTTGGACGATAATAACTCAAATTAAACAAGTTCGGCTATTTATTGTATAAGCGTGACCAACAGTCAGTCGATAGTCGATAGAATATTTATCGACTACAATCACCAGCTGCTTGCAAGCAGAGCAACACTATTGCGCAAAGAACTGTCATTTTACTCCACCTTTATAAAAGGCTGTAGTAGATTTAGGGCACAAATTTATAGAGATGATGTGGATGGAAACGTGGACAGAGGTAAACCTCCTTTAATTACCAAGAATAATATGGTATGTACGAAGAGAGAGGAGGCGAATTCACTCACTTATTGGGTTTTACCTCGAACCACTCATTAATTAGATTACAAACAGATCTATTGTGGATGTTGGGTACTGATAGCAGCACGAATCTGTTCGATACTGATCCAATACGAAATAGTATTCTATGAAATCACTTTTATGAACTATCATAAAAGTATCACACGTGGAAATGAACTTCGACATGAATTACACCCACTTAATTATTGCTAACGCAAATTGTCCACCCTAGGATCACATCCAAGGCGCACATATGGAGCCTCTACGCTCAGTAGCTCCACGTCTGTGGGAGATCGACAACCTGCTCCGCATGAGGACCTTAGAACAGCTCGTATCTGCTGAACGGACGCTGCAGTCTTTGGCACAATTGCTTGGTAAGTTAGTACATTAAAAAAACTTGCAACGGATTCTCGAACATTCAGTGTAGTCATAATGATTTGATTGATAACAAAAAAGTTACAGGTCACGAATAACAAATAATTAAATTGATTTACAAGAAATAATTAATACGATAATTAAATCTTAATAATAAAATAATGATAATAATAAAAATAAGCTACACAAAAACAATAATTAAAAAATACAAATAAAAATATTATCAATTACATTACAAGTAAGTCACATTAATAGCACCACACGATACTATAATCAAACGTGTAGAGTGATTGCTCAACAAACCACGTTTTCAGGAGAAATGTGAATGAATTCCTTGATGGTGCACTTCGCGCGTTATATAAATTTGCATATATGCATATTGCATATATATACATAACTACGTTGACTATGTTAAAATTACATAGTACAAAACTTGTACTGGATATTTGTAATTTATTGAAATGTAACATTTATTACTATTTGTAACGATTCTTGTAATACAATATATTGTATATAATAATGTAAAGCTTACAAGATAATAAAATAAATCTAAATCTAAATCTAAATCATAAAGAAGTTTTCATAATAAAGGGATAATTGAAATTACGTTTAGTACATACAACCATTTTCTTAATATGTCTCGGCAATTTTCGTGTTACGGCTGTCGTCGGGTTTCTATCAGATGCCGTTAGCGGAGCAGTAAATTAATTTACTTCCATTTTTATTAACATTGACTTCCGCCAAGTAACGCCTGAATCTATCAATTAGTTTATTTTTACGTTACTAACGAGACTGGACTTCTTTTCGTTGCCTGAAAAATAAATATTATTATTGTGGATTACTATTCGAACCTTTGGTATAATAAAGCCATACGTCAAATCAAAATTGCTTTTATCACACGAAGGTCATAAAAATACTACGAAATATATGAAACAAATTATGTTTATATGAAATTGTATAAATCTATCGAGTTCTTAGGTTTTCGCGATTGTTACGCATAGGAAATGAAATCAGTCAACCGTGACCATGGGGCCTGTAAAGGGCCCGAAACGTCGGTTTGTTTGAAAAAACAAATATACGCGATTTAAATCCGGAAAAATTGTTTCATTTCCTTTGTATAAATCTCCTATTTAAGACTAATTTCGTTCTCCAAACCTTTCTCCTGAAAAGTTATCGTTTTGGAGATGTTATCTTATTTAAACTCTCGCCTCTACCATGGCCGAAACAATGAACTTTAAATTTTTGAAATAATATAGGCGGTATAGTGATATTAGTGAGAACTCGGAATTGCATATGTAATGGTATTGTGTTTACAGAAGAATTTGTGGTTGTTGTGTTGTGTGAATATAAGAAACTGAACATTTAAAAAAATGCAAAAAGATGAGGAGTAAAAAAGTGACAGTTATATCAATTCAAATGGCTTTGGTTGATTTCGCATAACAATGAAGTTGTTGAATCAATCTCTTTGGAAAAAATTAATAGCAAAATTGAGAACATATACTGATCACTATACGGTGTAAAAACACGGTTCCTAAAAATTTTCACGATAAAAAAAAAACACAAATATACTTCGAAATTTTATAAGAAAACCGCTGTACTTAATAGGTACTTTACATATCGCACTGTTAATACAATAGTGTATTAACTCGAAAAGTGTATTTTGCTCAGAATCGACGAAAAACTAATTACTCGCCTCCCGTGAAATATCTGTATAAATTTATGTATAGGTTATTTCCTACCTACCAAATATACATATTTAAAAAGAAAAGAGAAAAAATAATTTATTGTTTTTGAATAAGTACTATTTTGGCCAGAACTACCTCACATAAAGCGTGTCTCATTTTGAGTTAAATAGTTAAGTAGATATATTTTAGTTGTTTTTTACAATATTCTAACGACGGTTTTATTGACGTGTAGAGAATCAAATTTTACGTTCAACAATGATATAATCTTGATTTTCACATATTTCGAGTTTATAACACTATTGTAATAGCAGTGCGATATACCAATTTTTTTTTTTATATCAACTGAACTAAATAGAACACGTATAGTAATACGACATACATTTTTCAAATGTAATAACAATAATAAGAAATAATAATGCGTACACACTCATAGCCCCGCACTAGGGAAACCCTGTATCGTGGTTGCCATGGACAGACACACAGACAACCACACATTACGCCCAAACTCACGAGAGATAAATAAATATACGCCATACACATTGACTTACATTTATATGGACGTCGGGTCCGCGCTAAAAAGTGTCCGAACTTATAGGGCGTTAAAATCGTATACAGAGCGCGACACTCCGCTTTAGTCTTCATTTGTTCTACTGACAGCGCGATACTGCGATGACATTACAATTTAAATTTCGAATAGGTTGACTTGGGACATTTTTTTCGTGGTTTTTGTATTAGACCCGTCGTCCATTTATTTGTAAGTCAATGGCCATACAAATATTTCTCTCGGTCCGGGAACCGTATTAGTACGAGAAAAATTGTCTATATAATGCAGTTCCAAGATCTTGCTAATATCACTATACTCCCCTACAATGGCACAGTCGGCCGGGATCAAGGATCCAAGTTCAACAACCTGTCAACGATGCGAGCTTTATCGAGCAACACCCCTATCTACATTTGTCCTTGTAACCATTATTATTATTATTATAAAGGGTGATGGTGTGATAACTATGTAAAATTCAATTTTAGGTGAGATATCGAACATAGTAATCAACGACGAGGTGGGAGCTTCCATAAATTCGGCAGTCAGGAGTATCCATAATGCCAGCGAGTTCATGTCAACTGGGCGGTTATTGGAAGCCTATGAGACGTCGCAGAAGGCTTTCCAAGCTGCGGAGAGTGCGTTTATGGAACCCAGTCTTCTGGCGTTGTTGTACTTTCCTGATGATCAGAAGTGAGTTTTTCTTACAGGTTTTTTTTTATTAAATTACCTTTCTTATTGCGTCACATACGTTGCTCTGATCCCAAAGTAAGTAACTACAGTACTTGTGTTATTGAAATCGAAAGCAACGACCGTACCACAAAAAAGTTTAGTTTTTCTATATTGACTCGAACCCGGGATCTCAGACGGCGACACCATGAAAACCGGCGTGCAAGCCACTCGTCGTCGTCGTCAAATTACGTATTATATATAGTCCATGATGGTTACAGTGACTTTTCAAATTTTTACGTTGCATGCTTACTAGCAGTAGAGCTTCTTATGACAGAGTTCGTCCAGGGAAATACTGCCACCTTACCTATTTCTGCCGCCAAGCAGTAAGTACTGTGAGCATTACTGCGTTCCGGTTTGACAGGGTAAGGGTATTGGTGAAATTACACGCATATGGGACTTATCAACTTACGTATTTCTTTTTTGTATAATTGTTCCGGTCGCACACAAAAAAGAAACCCTTGGGCGAATTTCACTGGAAGTTATAGCGCTTCTTTGTGGCCTTTTATAAATAAAATCATATATTTGAATGAATGAATGAATGGATGAATGAATGGGTTGATATTTGTAATTGACGCTGCTGCTTTTAGGAATAAGTTGACAATATGTGCCTGTAATTTCACCAGCACCCTTACTGTTCAAAACCGAAACGCAGTAATATGTGCATGTCTGGCGGTAGAAATAGGTATGGTTATCCTTTAAGGCTGCCTTGGATGAACTCTTTCACAAGGAGCTGTACGCCACTAATTAAAGTACACTAATTAAACAATGCTGTTTCATGTTTTTTCCGCTCATTATTAAACAAGGCGTCTCTATGGTAGTACGGGAGGGACTTAAAATTACCCACCGTACTACCAGTGGTTCGCTTAGTGGTACGGTGAGTCCGGCGCGAGTGTGCGTCCGTACAAGGCGCGCGGTGGGCGTGCACACATACAAGCCGCGCTGCTACGTTTGAACTGAATTACCATATTAGTCTTATTATACTAAGCTAATACGTCTTAGGACGCTTAAGCAGAACGCCGTTGTATGCCTCTCATATGTAATGTTTAAAGTTTTGTTTTGTTTTCAGGTACGCTATTTACATTCCACTGTTTCTCCCAATAATGTTCCCAGTGGTTTTGTCGTTGAGAAACCTGCTGCGCTGGTTCCGCGGGAAGCCTATACGAAAAGAGAAGAAAGACTAGTGGCATTTATTGCTAGTACATAAGTTCTGTTGAGATTTAGTATTACATTTGAGATTCTTTTTTACTTTGTTGGTTTTATTGGAATACTCTGCAATAAAAAAAACCTTCTGTTACTATGACTAACCGTGATCATCATCCACCTAATATGCGTCTCACTGTTGGGTACAGATCTCCTCTTAGGACGTCTCTTCACGTTATCTACACGTATCTAAGTCATCAGTTATCTAAAGGTTGTGAATCTTCTTCAACATACCACTGTGTATGGTGTGTCGTGATAGAATGCCAACGGCAGGATTGTGCAAAGTTGAGAGCAGTGGCTTGTCACTGGCAGTCATCGAGTTACTATTCAAGTGCCATTGCAATTTATTGGATTCTGCTCTTCAATGGAGAGTCAATGGCACGTAGATCTTTCGTTCCCACTAGTACCACTATGTTACTAGTGAACTGTTTTTCCCACTAGTACCACCATCCGAAATTATGGCTCAAGTTAGTCCTTTGTTTCAATCCATTTTGAACAAAAAGTAAACAAACCTGTTTGGTTAAAATTCTAAAGCAATCACTCAATAAATCGAATAAGTGACACTTTCACGTATATTTCGAAGATTTCGACTTGATATATCATCACTTTTTCCAACAATATTCATTTGAATAGCATCGTAAATTATTTGACAAAAAAATCAATTTGAAGACTAAATTCCTGCTTCAACGAGATAAAAATTAACATGTGCCTGTAATTTCACCAGCACCCTTACCTTTTTAAACCGGCGGCAGAAATAGGTAAGGTCGCAGTAGTTCTCAGGACGAACTCTTTCACAAGGAGCTCTACTGCTGCTATCGTCTTCTAATATTTAATGTTACGGTAAATAACATTACTGTGTGATATTTCGACCCCTCCTACGTAAAATATCGTGTGTCGAAATCGCCAAGTTTACAGGGGAGCGTTTTAAAGCTTTGAATTCACTGAAATGGGCATAACACGTGACTTTAGCATTTCTCAGTTTTATTCGGAAAAGCTCGTTACTTTAAAACTCGTTCTCGAATAAAACTGAGAACTGCTAAATTCACGTGTTACGCTTATTTTAGTGAATCCGGAACTTTAAAACGCTTACCTGTAAACTTGGCAATTTCGACATACGATACTTTACGTTGGAGGGGTCGATTTGTTTATAGGCTAAGTTATGGTGTGTTTAAAAGATCCATTAATTGCACATACGTTGCATACTAAATATTGCGTGGTGTGATATGTCACACTGTGATATGTTATATATGTATAACAATAAATATTATTATGAATGATACATGCCGTATCAAGCAATACCGTATTCTGTATTTATATTGGAAGTTACACGGAACAAAAATCCAACTTGAGAGCCAGGCTAATTAGAATTCACCCTTTTCAAAACTATTGGGATTCGTGTCGGTGATTTCATGCAATAGATCGAAATACTGCAGACGTTTTCCGGTTTCGGCTTTTACAAGATCCTCATCATGCGAGGTGGTAAAGAAACACGAGCTTATTCGCTCGCAAGAGTAGTTCAACGGTTATGGATGGATCTCAATACATTTTAATGCGGTCGTTTTCAATTATTTCAATAGTTTCAAATATATATTCTAAAAAGGCAACTTCTGTCCAACAGAACTGAAAAAAATAAGTATTTTCTTAGCTTGGAATGTCTTTATCTTCTCCAGAATATTTATGCATGAAACGTCCGATTGGCTAAATATAAATATTCTTTACAAAATATAATAGATTAATTTAACCTTTTTATACACTGCCGTACACGTTACGGGCAATTTGATTAATTGGATATTATAAATAATAACCAGTTACACCGGGCCAAAATGATAGAGTACTTTGGCCGGTCCGTATTAACAATACCCGACCGCCCATGGTCCATTTGATTGGCTTTATTTGGAGCCTTAACGTGAATTTATCACTAATTCCCTCTCTACTTCTCGCTGGCAATAACCAAACCTGACCAAAACATTGTAGATCATTTTTTATTTGAACATTTTATGATAACATGAATGTTTGTTATGTTGCAGTACTCTACCAGGGGTGACGTTCTGGGGCTGAAAGTTTTTAAATGTACACCTTACCAACTACATGATTGCAATAAATAAATAATTACTTTGACCAAAACAAGGTGTTCATTATTTTTATTACAGTGCCTATTTGACGCTTTATTAAAACAGACCGGTCATTATTCATAGTGTTCATAGGCTTATCAAATCCGATACGTACACAAAAATACCTTCCCAACGTCACGCATATTATTTGTGTATGGTACGGTGTGACGGGCTGTTGCCCGCAACAATGACATCCAGGCGCCTATTTTGCGTGTGTTGGGTGCAGGGTCCTCGTGTCACCCAAGCTCTTCCAAGAATCTCAGCACCCTCCTGGGTTTGCTGAAGACTTCGGGGAGCTGACGTCGGCACTCCAAAGTAGTACTTCGCCCTTTAGTTGGCCACGCCGGAGCATTGTAGTAGGATGTGCGCGACAGTTTTTATTTGTATATCAATATATCTATTTATGGCTCCTGTACGTAAATTTTGACATTCTGACGCAAGTATTTAGCACATTGCAAATTCTAACACAATCGGAATTTAAAATACCGTTCTTTAAGGGTCAAAGCGAGCATAAATGGAAATAAAAAGTTTATATTTGCTTCACATTACAATATTTTAATATGTAATACTGAGGTACTTTGTCACAATCGAAAATTATTCAATAAAATCACTTACATACTAATTCATGCTACGATATAAACGTGCAGAATTACAAAGTCGTGTGTTTTATTTATTATAGCCTTATATTCTATTGAGTTTTATCAAATTAAAGTTATACATGTTGAAATGTTTTCGTCCATTTTGAAAGCTGTTGATATGTGTGGCAACATTATTCAGACTGTTTTGAATTTTTAGCCTACTAGGTCTTCCTTGCATTGAAGATAAATTAATGTCTTCATTCGCTGTATACATGTGTAACTTGAGACTTCAAATTCCTTTATCTCATGCGAAACCTTTAAAAGGAAGAACGCCACCAAGAAGTGGAAAGCACTTCACTTCGAGATGTAATAACGAGGCATGCGCACGCCAGGGCACTTATTTACATAGCAATGTCTCACTTATATTCTGGTGTGATCATTATTCTAACTGTAATACACTTTCATTTACTTTGCATTACTATTATCTAGCTTGGGTTCTATTTTGAGCGGGGTCACTACGTTAACTTCGTCCAATCGTCTATGATGGATGACTCGTTGACCGTTTACAGAACTGAGGCTTTAATAAACGATAGACATTTCATCGAGAGTTCTTTTCACCTAATACCATAAGGTCGAGCAGGTTCACAAAAAATACTTTTCAATGGCGACATATGTTATAACAAAATATCATTTTATCAATTAGAAATATACTTGCTAACTAGCAATTCATTGATTTGGATGTTTCCATTTTTGAAAAATTTGCTCAAAACTTATTTATTTGGGAAAAATGAAACGTAGATCTTTGGTCCTTCGATGATTTATTTTTAAGTGAATGTGCACTGAGCCACAGTATTTAAATTAAATTACTTACTTGTTCTCTGATGTAGTATTTATCAAACGTACTTCGATGTGTCAAACATTGTATGTACAAATTATATAATCGATGAATCATCATAGGTGAATGTAATTAGACAAAAGTTTTTTCGTGATGACGTAGTGAACCCATTAGCATTTAAGTGCATTATAAATTATTAATATAGGAAACTTAGCAACACTTAAGTTTTAGTAACAGCCGTTTTGTTTTCATATGTTTTAGATATTTTCTTATATATTTTAGACACATTTCTGGTATAGACACAAACACTAACATATAACTGCATCAACAATAATATGCAATAGGATATTATGATTCAATCCAATCAGTTTCAGTTATCATAGCGACATTTTCTCCTTTGCCTGGTAAGTATTCGAATTCCCAAAGGGAGTTCCCAAGGACCAATGTTTCCCCTTCATTTACTTCCAAGTGTTGGGTAAAGCAGTCATCTTCACAAGGAGAACGAGGTCTGAGTCTCACCAAGGTCTTCCCTTTGAGTTGCGACATTATTATCAAACCGACGTCAAGTTCAAGATTCTTATATCTATGGGTGTCATAGTTTTTGGACAACAAGAGCCAATTGAAATGGGAAGGAGGGATATGGGGGGAGAGGAAATAAGGCCTAGGAGCTAGAATCCTAAAAGATTTAACTGCCTTTATATCGCAGTTTTGAAAATGAACGAACCAACTCGGTATGTTGGTGTTGGTTATTCGGGAGACTACTTCTTCTAAATCCATTGGCTGGCGACCGATTCGTATATTGGTAAGTATGCGACAAGGTACGGAGTCGCGAAGTCGGTTATCGTCGCTTATCAGACTGGTCAGGTTAAGTTCTGAACGAGATATAGACCAATCGTAATAAGCGTCCGTTACAATGACTGGAGCACCTCTTAAAAGGTGGTGGTTGAACACCTCGTGGTAGTTTGTGTCTGAGAGCCGAACGACATTTTCTGAAATAATAATTTATAATTAAATTTTAAATAAATTACTATCTAAATTATGTTGAAATAATTAACTGACCTATTATTATTTAGTACTGCTAAACTAAAAAGATTTTACGAACAAAATATTTTATTCTCCTTACATTTTGCAGTAATCGATCTCTACTGCAGCAAAATAAAATTTAGGTTGGCATCACGTCGGCAAATACTATGATATCTTCAATGAAACAACATTATTACTAAGTCTTACAAAGAGCCAAAATGACCATCAAAGTAGGAACTTACTGATAGCTTCACAAGCAATACAGTCTGAAGGCGAAACGAGGTTGTTGTCCATATTCTGAGGCTGAGAACGTTCGATCAAGCATTTATTGTAATATAGAGGTGTCCAGTCCCAAATCGGCAATATCTTTATCAATATAATTCTTGTGACTGCCGAAGCATGCCATTGGAACGTGTCGGTTTGGCTTACAGTGTATCCGATGGCGAACACCATCACCAGAAATAAGAAGAATCTTGTCCATCTCTTAATCGATGCCTTTCTCACTGCACTGGTCAAAGGGCGGCATATAATATCCATTTCCTCGTCAGAAATTCCCGCTTCTTTACAATATTCGTAAAATGAACGCACTTCATTGTTAATAAACTCGAATTTCTCGCGTTGGGACATTTTCGCCCCGTTTTTAAGACTCATCATCGCGGTGACCTACAAATTCGCACTTCGATCAATAATAAACTCACGACGCGGTCTATCGATAATGAAAATTCGCGCGCGCGCGAAGGATGTCATTCTGTTTGTAATGTTGCCGTTCTGGAGGATGTCAATGACACAGCAAGAATGTCATACAAAGTATATTTTGCATCTTGTTTATAGTCATGTATGTAACATAGATTCTGCAAGTTCCTATACCTCACTTCTTTGTTTGTTGCAATGCAACTATAATATTCTGTACAAGGTTATTGCCATCTGCAGACCAAAATAATTAATAACTGAATTGAATGAACTCAAAAACAAAATATTTGTTGTAAGTGTTGGATCAGCAATTCGCAAGAGTAATGCAGAGTGAAGTTCACATGTTACACGTTCAATCAATTACCAACAACAGAGGTTGACTGGAAACAATCAGCAGTAACAATTATATTTTTATATATCGCTTTTAAGCCACTTTGTTACGTGTATGGGGTCACATTATTGCCACATTTAAATGGCAGCACTGAAAAGTCAAAATTAATTGTCGGCCATATTGAAAGTTCTATAATGGGAAGTTGATCAAACGTTGACCCTATTATGAATTTCTATTTATTGTGAAGTGATATTTATTCCAAACGTGGTCCAAAAATTAACTCATATATTTATTGAACAACTTGTGATGAAGTGCATGTGAAAGATTGCGTATTTGCTTTTTTGCAATCCGTTTGGTGAATACGTCACAGCGCCATGTTGTATTCCTGCGCTGATCGCAGGCACGAGAAATCTGCCAATCTTATTTTTCGGGAATAGTTCCCGAGAACTAAATCGAACTGCGATTTTGTACTCAAATATATTTTAATTTATATTTGTTGGCAAATGTAAGACAACTTTAGTGTATTCGATGCATCCCTGTTGTCGCATTTCGAGTGCTAACTCATAATTTCAACTGCAGTTTTGTGCATCCGCGAAAGTTGAAAGGACTGTGTTGTAAAAGAAAGAAGTTCCAATAATTAGCCAAAATTCCGGTCCCTACGCGCAGACGAGAAGGTGCCTACCCACCGGGGCAGTCAGGCGAAGGAGACATGAACAACAAACGCAAAAATCGACAAGGGCCGCCGAGGTGAGTGTAGTTTTGGTCATCAACTTTCGTGGTTCGGGATGTCATGTCTTTGTTATTGAGGGTGCCCATCAACATGGGCGCTGAAGAGTGTGGTGGCTGATCGTTGTCAGAGTGACAGTTAGTGTGAGCGCGAGCTGTAGTGCGGTAAACAAAGCGGCTGGTTTGCGAATTGGATGTTTTGTGGCGCGGAGCACGTCGCGAGCGGCGCCGCGGCGCGGTGCGGCCGTGTACGTTAATCTAGATGTTTGGCCTACTTTTGTCGTGTACTCGAGACGATTAATTTAGCCGCGTGTGATCAGCTGATCCCAGTGCCTGTGTCGCAAACTTAGCTAATTAGTCACATTTAATATCAAATAGTAGTGCTGTACTAATTTAATTTGGGTTTATACATTGATAAGTGATTGGATAATTAGTTGAGACATCTCATGTGTAAATTGTGGTGATGACAGGCACTTCTGAATGGAAAAAGAAGCCGAGGACCAATTCTAGGCCATAAGCAGTATGTACATTTACCCTTACAGCTGCTTTCTTGGTATAATATGTAGGAAGAATAATGTTTGGCTGTGCTCCAAAGTTCTTAATTAGAAAGCTTTCTTTTCTTTAGTTCAAGCATGGTCAGTTCAAAGTTTAAAAATAGAGTGAACAAGGCTTGATGTGTGCCTATTGTTGTAATATTTATGTTTAGCAGTGTAGCATGCTGATCATGTACTGTTGTAGTACTGTCATATTTAACTTGATATAAGACAAACCTGTACAATTGTTATTTCATTCTAAACAGTGACTTCAAAACATACAATATTGGTGTTATTCTTTGAGAATGTACATTTGGTGGTTCGATTTGGCTTTCAAAAGTGTCCAATCTAACAATTGACACTTAGTCACTGTATGTGTTAATAGAAATAACACATGCTTTATAGTCATTGTTATAACCAAAATGAACCTATGGTAACATTAGGCATTTACAAACATCTTTATTCTTCTACTATCTTGTTTCTTGTCATATTAACTATTTTATTTATGTTAAATCTAAATCAAAGCTACTTTGTTTGACGTGTAGTACAATAAAAAAAGAAAGTACAAATTAATAATGAAACAAATATGTCAAAAGGTCTAAAAGCAAAGAAGGACCAGTCTAATTTATGTTTTTTGCGCAATATTACTTTTTTGGCAGACAATATTGCCTTTAAATTCGACTTTAGTGTTTTCAAATAAAAGATAATTTACAAAACCACAAGCCTATTAACAACTGTGTTGATTGAACCATAACATTGTGGTACACAATGATATAGTGCTGTCCATCTTAAAGTTTATTCATTATTGCAGAAAGTGTTTTTAGCAGGAGCACTGTAGTTGTAGCAATGCTAACTAAATTAAAAGGTCATTTGAATAACCATAAATTACTTTGCGAAGCACTGGGTAGTTCCTAACAGTGTATAATTACGTTTTATTGAACTATAAAAAGTTATTGATATGGGAAACAAGTTCTTGTGTACTGTGCAGTAAATTGCTTTTCGAAGTTTAACACTTATTCAAAAACTTTTTCAAATTTAAAGTTTCCTCCTTGTCAGCCTCTGCAGATTTTATTCTTTTATCACTATCAGATCTTAATTTTATCTGTACATACATCAATGGCAGTTCAAAAAGTAAAAGACATTAACTGACACCAGGTTGGAAATGGGTTACGCGTAGATGATAAATCCTGGTTGGAGAAACAAACAAACAAACAGCATTACAAACAAATTTTGCATGCAATTAATTCTCCTACATTTACGTTTTGACTGTCATAATAATGCCCAAAAGAGTAGACAAAGTCCACTAGAAGAAAACTAGTAGAAAATGGAGACCCATTTTACAATTCTAAAAAACTTCTGTCTTATACTCCATTCTTAACAACCCGTACATGTATGCTCTTAAGGCCACTCTTAAGTGTCTACTTATTCTGTTTAAAAGTGAATTCAATTTCTACACAAATTCTTACGCTATCGTACAAGCTTTAGTTAACATAATTGATTAACAATGCACAAAAGCAACTTAACATAAAAAAAAAATTTGAACTTGTCATATTTAAGTGTGAAGACTCAAATGGGTTTTAACAGTAATTACATTACAAGTATTTTTTTACTCAGTAGTCTTTGTGTAACCATATGGCTGATGACAGCTAGTAAATAAGTACTTGAATGTTCTTATTAAAGACATTTAATATATTTTAGAAATGTAGTGTAGGACCCAAGTTACTCTACCTCAATTCAATTTTTGTAAGTCCGTAAACCATTTTCGAAAATATATTTGATGTTTCATGTCGAATGTCAGAAGAGCTGCGTACAACGCTTAGGCTTGTATTTGTTTACATACATTACACTGTACATTTCTATTCAAATATTGCCTCCAATGAAATGGGAGAAAATTCGTCAATGTGTAGCTTGATTTGCTGCCGTCTGTAAAAACCCACTGCTAGAAACTGCTGTTTTTTTATAGTATCAATATCAAAGTTTGGTAAGCCATGGGTGTCCATTTAGGTTGTGAAAGCCCGTACCCTGGCAGAAGGCACAATACTGGTGAAACATTTGCGGTTTCACATGTTTCAGAAGAAATTATTTAACATTATCCAGTATGCAAATTTAATGACAATGTTTGACTGCACTGTTACATTAAGCGACAATGTTAAAATTGTTGAATGGATTTGTTCTTTCCCAAATCAAAGAGGTGTGTGAATGTTTTGAACTTTGGTTCTTAACACAATAAAAAACAATTGATGGGCAATCTGTATAGTTCGACATTTGTACGCATGAATTTGAAGATCCTGAAAAAAGATATATGATATTTCATGTGGTCTCCAAATGTTACTTATTTTTTAAATTCGCACTCAAAATGTGTTTGTGCAATAATAACAAACGAGTGAAAAATTGATTAAACACTATCACTAATTTATTACTCTGATTCTCTGTATCTGGGGGTCTACTCTTGATATCCGTCCGACATCCGTTCAATACAATTACTGCCAAATAAGCAATACTTGACCAAATGAAAAGACGCGTGATGCGAATGAAGCTTCATACTTCAGGATCACTTCATATTTGTCTTTTAATTTTGTCGAATATTACTTATGTGACAGTAATTGTTTCGGACGAATGTTGTACGGAGATCGAGAGTAGACCCCCTGCACCAAGTCCAGCTTCCCCTGTAAAGTATAAGTAAGAAATTTAAAGGGTTCCTCTTTGTAAACAGATATTTGTATTTTAAAATATCATAAGTAAAAGAAACCTGAAAAATTTATCAGTATCTCTTCTTACTACAGATTTATAACATAGCACTGCTAAACTGTTTTTTTCTGGACTACACTGTAACAGTTGATATGAAATCCTACACGTGTGTGATACATTAACTCATATGTTCTTCATGTCAACTGATCTCAGAGGCAGCCATAAGTCTTTCCAAACTTGCTAGATCTTCTGGGCAATAGTGCACGATCTGTCAACAAAAGGCCTACCTCCTGTATAGGATATACTAACAGAATGAAAACTGTGTGACAGAAAGGGTACTTATAAGTCACCAATCTCCATATAACCCTCAACCCTAGAGGATATTTGTGCCAAATATTGATGTAACTTGATAATGAACGAAGAAGCTGCGAGTCTGGTTGATTAGAGATTGGAAAATTGAGTAAATCTAGTACATACGTATAAATCAAATGGTTTATAGAAGCAATGTAATGTAAATGTAAGTTCTAGATGTGATGAATGTGGCTAGATCTTAGGTTATTATATGTAGGTAGTTTAGAAGTAGCTCTTTCTCTGACTAATTTTACACAATATTGAACCGACATGCTTTATTGGGCCCTGTCTACCAGGAGACTAGCTGGTGCCTTGGACGGATATTTTTCAATAGAGAACATATTACATTTTACAGGATTCAGTGATCAACGAGCTTTTGCAACCATTAATAAACTAAAACATTTAATATAAATGTTATCTAAGTGTAATTATTTAATATTAATTACCTAACATCATAGAATTTGGATTAGGCTGTCTTTGAAAATAGGCCTCTTCCAGCTTATCCCATTAACCGTTGTCTCCAGCTCATATAATAGGAGTTTTAGTTAGTGATACCAAACTGACATCTTCTAATGTGACTGTGGAAAATAATGTTGCCACGTTTATTGTATAGTATTGTGCTTGGTTTAGTTCTCATTAAACTCATTGAAAAACAACAAAAAATGAAACGTTAGCAAATAATCTGATAAACAATATTTCATTTACATTTAGTCTCTACATACTTCTGTTATCAAATTCTTGATCATTTTTTTATGAACACCTACAAATTTTTGTAGTTTACAATAATTTGTAGTCCAAAAAGTCAAAAGTTTTATAGTCTACAAAGTTTTGAAAAAACAATTATACGCGATTTAAATCCGGAAAAATAGTTTCATTTCCTATGTCGCGAAAACCTAAGAACTCGAAACCTACAAATTGTTAAAAATGTATAATTTACTGATTCAGTGAAATAAATCCTTTAAGACAACGCTATTTTTACCGACTTCAAAAAAGGAGAAAGTTCTCAATTTGGCTGCATTTCTTTTTTTGTGTATGTAACATACAATTACACTGCATTTGTGAGTCGATTTCGATGATTCTTTTTTGTTGTGAAGAAGTGTGAGGGTACTTCAATATCGGACCCATTTAAATTTGAAAAATATGTTTTAGCGTTCTCCGGTTTTGCGCACTTTCAGGTAACCAGTTCGATAAAACTTGGCAAATATATGTAATTCCACAAACATTTGAGGTCGTTTTTTTAAAAAAAATGTTATATAATTATTATTGTGCTAAGCGTCAATTCTCTAATTTTCCGGCTATAGTTGTACGCCATCCTTTGGGCAAATACTCTTACCGCCTTTCACATACCTTCTTTTTCCTTTTTTGTTTTTCTAGAGTACCAACATATTATGTCTTGATCATTTCGACCCCTCCTACGTAAAGCAACGAGCTTTGCCGAATAAAACTGAG